TGTCTTACACTGCTAAATTAGGGATGGCTAGCGCAGATAGCCCTTGTGTAGCTTTGCACAATATTCAAAAACAAACAATTTTACTACATTGTTTTCTGTACAGAGAATTGTCTATTTCACTTCCAGTTTAAACTGTTCCCAAGGGAAACACATTAACGAGCTTAGCTGAGCTTTTAATGGCTCTTGTCTCATAGTTATAAAACCAAACAAATTGTGATAATTACAGAAACATTATCTGCTTTTTGCATGTCATTATTCTGTGTTTTTTGATGCATTATGTAATTGAATAAAAAATAACTTAGTGCAATAATACCATGACTATAAAATACTAGGGTTAAGTTTCATCAATAGTTGACAGCAAAAAGAAGATCTGGGTAAGTACTTTATTTCTTGTTTTTTTTTGTGTATTCTTTATGTATTATTATAAAAGTAATTGAAATGTACAAATGGGAAAATTTTTTAGATTAGATTAGGTAAAATAAATTAATAATAAACTTTTTTCATGAGGTGCGCTTGCGAGCAACTCATGAGTAGACTATGCATTATCTAATTTGGTCGGGTAATGTGAGATATATATTCGCCAAATTATTTACAATATGAGTAGTTGTGAATATTAGTTAGACATAATTCAAAGAGTAATAAAACAATAAAAGTTAAGTACAAACAGATTACTACTATTATGAGTTTAAAGCTATTTAGGATACACAAATGTAGTTTCATATTATAATTTGAAGACTTTCTAGAAAGAAAAAGGGTAATTTACATTTATTTTGATTTGTTTTTGGTGGTTATGACGTTGGTTACATTGACCAACCTTGTATAGAGAAAATATTAGATAAAATATAAGGTTTCAGAGGTTATGCAAATGAATTCTAAGAGGAAGAAAAGTATTTTGAATCTTAACATGAAAATCACTTTACACTTGGACTAGTGAAAAAAAAAAAAGACTTAATATGTTCAAGGACAAATGTTTAATAAAAATACTTCACTAAAATAATCTGATTTTTTTGTATATAAAAGATTTGTAATGTTTGGTGAAAGTCTGTGAAAAGTGGTCACATGGTCAGTCAGTTCAATCGAGCCCGTGTTGAGAGAGAGTAAAAACAAAATAAAGATTATTATTCACATTTTAATGAATGGTCTATGAGGAACTGTAAGAATTTTGGTTTCAGAACCACTGATTTAAAGATATATTCTATTTTTACCAATTTTGTTTTTAGCCATAAACAGCCACAACAACAAACTTCAACATCTTCAATGGCTCCTGTAACTCCAGTAACCCCTGGTGCAACCCATGTTCCTTTATCTGGTGCATCTGCAACATCTAGTGTTATTTCAGGTGTGCAGATGGATATTAAGCAAGAAGGAAAAGAAGATACTCGATGTCCACCTGTACAACTATCAAGCCTTTCTGATAATAAAGAAGAAAAGGTGAAGAATCTGATATAAATGAATAAGAATTTTTAGATTTACTAATATTGTTTATCGTATTTATAGATTTTTTTGCAATTTCATCTATTGATAGAAATTTCGATCTTTTAACACACTCATCACAGACAAGTCAAATTGTACATGTCAGAACTTTTTAAAAAGTTGCATTCAAAATTTAAATAAACTACTTTATTATCATTGTACGCGAATAAACTTGGCATCAAAGTGTTGTTACTAAAACAAAGTTTAATATTATATAAGATTTAATTTTTTAATTTCAAAAGGAAATGTTTTAATGAATTTTCAATCTCCCCTTGTCTGTGTAATGTGACATTTGTTTGCTCTAACATGCCCATTTAATATTTTTACATCACCCCTAATATTTATAACTTTTAATCTTCTTTATAAATCAGAAAGTAAATTCCACTTGGCATACCCTTCTATTAAATTTTTATTTTATTTAAGTTTTAAGTTCTTACTTTTATAAGGAAATATTTAAACCTATCCTCAGTCTCCTCTCATATGAAAATTGTGGCATTTGCTCTCTGTCTTCCCCCTTCTCTAATTTATTTTCCATCCCTCGAAGAAGTATGGAAGTTAACGAAAATTACTCATTATGATATATATATATTACTCAGGCAAAGCATAATTTTTATAGCCATCAATCGTATTTGTTCAGGGAGCCATAAACTGGAAAATCAGACCCACTTACTATGCCCACCTGCCATATCCTCTCTTTCACAAATTGTTAGAAGTTCTCTCTGACATTTTATACTATATTAGTTATAACCAATGGAAGATCAAAGTTTAAATCTATCAAATAACATATTAAGTTATGTTATTTTCTGTACAAGGCACTGTCTATTTTCTCGTTTAGTTTTGAATTTGTTCTCATGGGAATCACATTGACGAAATAAGATGCATTTTTAAAGACTCTTATTGCAGTTAGAAAACTAGAAAAATTATGATCGTTATAGGACATTCTTTGCTTTTTTGTGTATTATTGTTCTGTGTCCTCAGATGGATTATTTAATTAAATAAAAAGTATCTAGTTTAGTAGTACAAAAAAGTAGGTTTAAGTATTACTGACAGTCAACAGCAAAAAAAAAGAAGACCTAAGTAAGTACTTTATTTCTTATTTCCATCAGTATTCTTTATTATTATAAAAATAACTAAAATATAAAAATTAGAAAATTAGGTTAGATAAGGTTAAATTACATAAGATAAATTAAAAGTAATAATGAAAATTCTTCATGAGGTATGCTTTTGAACAGTTCATTATTTATATATTTTGATACAGTAACGTGAGCTACACATTGATTGAGTGATTTACAACTTGTGTGATGGGATTATTAGTTAAGATAGAGTTCATAGGATAATAAAACAAATTTAAGTAGAAACAGTGTATACTGTTATGAGCTTTAATCTATTAAAGATAAACAGTTATACTTTCCTGTTACAATCTGCAGTCATTCTAGAATGAAAAAAAGATAACTTAGATTTATTTCCTATTTCTTTATGTTGGTTATGAGGCTGGTCAAATTGACCAAATGTATATAGAGTTAGGGTAGAAAAAATAACATATAAAATATAAAGTTTTACTGAAATAGAATGTTTGATATTTATTTAGTAGATTTTAGATATTACACAAGTGAAATTTGTCAATTTTCAGATGAAGAAAAGTATTTTTAATCTTAACATGAAAATCACTTTGTACTCAGAGCTGTGAACACTTTGAATCCATATTTACAGATATTTTTGGTCAAAATGCTTCATATAAAAATCTTGTTTTTGTATACAAAAGCCTTGTAATGTTTATTGAAAGCTTGTGTAATTTTGTGAAGATACACAAAACATATTAAAAGTTATTGTATGGTAACATTAAAGGTCAGTTTGGGGTCATGAACTTGTTCGAATTGACCAAGGCCTTAGTGAGAGAGTTAAACTTTTAATTATATGCAGTCATACCATATTAACAATTATTTAATGAAATTAATATGAATTTATGATTTCAAGCAAAATGTTTTTGATTAACCACTAATTTACTTGAATTGTATTGGAAAAAGATGTTCTGTAATTTTGGAGCTTTATTATTATATGAATAAAAAGGAAGAATGTTTGTGAAATGTTTTAAATTATGTTTGATATGAATATAAAGTTATGAAAAATGATAAGTTTGTATTTGTTAACATTATTTTTAAGTGTAAAATGTCAAGGATGGGCTATGATCAGTTCTGTTTTTTTTTATGGGGTTTGAATATTCATTTGTTTTATTATTTAAGCTGCATCAATATTTAGTTAATATGTGTTTTATTAACAGCCAAAGTTTGGGTTTTCTGCATCACAAACAAGTAACCTTTCTGTAGCTGACTGCAGGAGTTTGGTAAAAACACTAGTATGTGGAGTTAAGACTATCACCTGGGGAATCAGTACTTGTAAGATATCAGGAGGTAATATTGAATATATTTGCTGATATTCATAAAATATACTTTGTCAGTTTTTAATTTTACTGTAACATAAATGACCTTAAAATTAGCTTTAGAAAATCATCAACTTATAATTTTTGATTAATGTGCATTTTATTGAACCATGATGATATCTTACCAAAAACATGTGTTAGAGTACATGATTATATTATAATGTTATTTTAAATCTCTCAACACAGATTCGATCGATTTGACCAATCGCATCACCTCTTTGTACTCGTTTAAAGTCTTTATAGTTTTTATACTACTAACTTTTAATATAGTATGTATATCTTCACAAAACTTGGCACACTTTCAGTAAACACTACAAGTCTTTCACATGCAAAAAATCATATTTTTCAGTGAAGTATTTTTAATAAACTAAAAACAGATTTATCTGTGAATATATTGAGTATATATTTTACTAGACCATGTGCAAACTGATTTTCATATTAAGATTACAAATACTTTTCTTCATCTCAAAAATCTCAAATTTCATTTGCTTAATATATAAGTGCCCTGGTGGAATAGTGGTAAGTGTTCTATTCCCCTCGGTGGACATAGCAGATAGACCGATGTGGCTTTGCTATAATAAAACACACACACTTAATCTCAAACCTCCTAACAACATTTCAAATGTTTGTTTTCAGTAATATTTTGTATTTTATCTGTTATTTTCTCTACCCTGACTAGACAAGGGTTGATCAATTTGACTGACCTCATAACCACCAAAAAAATTAAATAAATATGAATTACCCTTTTTTCTTTCTAGAATGACTTCAAATTGTAAGATGAAACTACATTCGTTTATCCTAAGTAGCTTTAAACTTGTAACCACATATATCTATTTATAGTTAAATTTTATTGTTTTATTACCCTTTGAACCATGTCTAACTACTACTTGTGCCATTATAAGTTGTCAATCACTTGGGAAACGTGGAGCTTGCATTATGCTATTGAATTACATTACTCACAAGCTGCTCATTTGTGTGGCTCGTGAAACATTTTTATTATATTATTATTATTTTACCTAATCTAACCTTAACAAATCTAAATAGAACCCTATTTTAACATTTTAGTTACTTTTAATAAAAGCTAAAGAATAAATATGAAAAACAAGAAATATAGTACTTACCTGGGTCTTTCTTTTTTTTTGCTGTCAATGACACATAACACTAATTTTTTCTACTAATGGTAATAATGCATTAATAATTTTTATTTAATTAAATAATGCATCACAGAACATAGATTAATAACATGCAAAAAGCAGATAATTTCCCCTAACTATCACAATTTTTCTGGCTTTCTAACTATGCGACAAGAGCTGTTACAAATTCATCCAAGCTAGTCATTGTCTTTCCTGTGGGAATGAAGCTTGTACTAACAGAGAAGTTTACAACTGTTTGTTCAGAAAGCAACATAATATATTATGTCATTTGATAGGTAAAAATCTTGGTTTTCTATTGGTTATAGATAATATAAAATTAAATCTAAGAGAAATATTTCCCAATCCTGAAAGAGAGGATCTGACAGGTACGTGTGGCAAGAAGAGTCTGATTTTCTATTTGATAGCTCTTTAACCAAACAAAATTGAAAGCAATAAAAATTATGGTGTTTATGAGCAATGATGATTTTACAGTGAGCAATTTATGTTAAATTTCATACTTATTAGAGGGGTGGTGAATAGAATAGAGAAGAGGGGATGCCTAGAGAAAATATGTCACATTTCTCACACTAGGAAAAATACAGGATTTTTTGAAATATTATTTTATAGAATTAAAAATATAAAACTTATATACTATTGAAATAAGGATTATTAGCTATGATTTTATGCTATACTAATTGGTATACCATAAGCAAGAAGTAGTTTAATAAAATTTTGAATGTAAGTCACTAAAACCTTGTGACATGTGCAGTAAATGATGCCCTGGCAGTGAGGGGTAATTTGTGAGTTCAGAGATCAGGAATAAAAGTATTCAACTATGGATTAATCCTATGAAAACTTAAAAACTTATTTCTCTCATGTCCTTTCATTTTCTTTTACATAATATAACTCCATTAAAATATGTATTCCTTTAACCCCTTATCATTTGTAGAAGGTTTTTTTCCATTATGGTAACAATGCCTTAACCACAACAAACCAGGTGGGAAGCATTTAAATGACACGTGAGCCATTTAGCATATATCTACAGGTAGAGATGATGTCTATAATGTGTAAATATATATGTGGAAATGATAAAGGGTTAATAAATATAAAAACACTACATACTATATTAATTTGCATGTAAATTTAAAGTTTAATATCTGATGCCAGCCATAGGTTTCACATTTGATTTTAGTTTTTAAATTTCAAATGTTTATGGTTTTTGTGTTACAAAGCAAATAACTTTCAGTCTCAAGTAGAATTTTTGAAGTCTTTGTTAAATTACAGACAATATAGTGTATACTTTTTATGATTTTGCTGAATTCTTAATTAGTAATATATTATGTTCATCATAGAATCATCAGGAGCCCAAAACAAACAGTTTCAGCCAAAGGAAACGATGGTGTTTATACGTTTAGTGAAACATGCTCTTGTAGCTCTGGATATATATACTCTAGCCTCATCTACACCTGGACAAACTCATCAAACATCTACGTCGTAAGTTCTTTTATAAGTGAACCATTGTATTATCACTAAAGCTTTTAACTTAGTTTTAATCTAGTTGAAATATAAACGTACATGTGATACAAAAGTATTATTTTGGTTCTTGCATTCTTGGGAGTAAAAAGGATTTCCCAGCTTGTTCTTTTTTATATTTTCTGTCAGGCTGTGCACAGTCCAGTGGTTAGTGTACCACACTCAGACTGTGGGTTTGAAGTTCCATAGTTCACATATAATAAAAAGATTGGGGTGCTCCACATTATGGGTGAATTATATGAACAGTCAAATCTCACTATTCTGTCTGACAAAAATAGCCGAAGAGTTGACAATTGATGGTGTTGAGTAGCTGCCTTCCCTCTGGTCTCACTTCAAAATTAGGAATGGCTAGCTCTGTTGTCAATAACAAATGAACCAAAACAAAGAAACAGTTTTCTGCCTTTTTATTTTAGAATGCCACATGTGTGTGATATTATTAACATAATTATGAGAGATTTTTATGGTGGCATACATATTGGCTATAAATGAAGATATCAAAGATATAGTTGAAGTAGCAGTAGTTTCTAAAGTATTCTTAATCTTTTTTATTTTATTTTATAAAGAAATAAAAAGCAACAGGGTAGTAACACATATAACAGAAACCATGGCCATATCATGCAAAGCACACAGCCTCAAAACGTTTTCATCATCTCCATAAAATTTATACATAATACCCTTAAATTGTATAATGTGTAATGTATTCTTTGAAATAAAGTATAAGTCACAAGTCTTTGCTAAGGATTGTTTTCAACAAAAGTGACTTCCAAATGTTATTCCTAATGCTATTAGTATACTTGTGTTTTGTATAATAATTAATTGTTTGATTTTGTCACTTTACTGATTATAAAGCTGTACTCAGATGTTACTTATAATGCACCAAATTCAGTAATTTTCCTTTTGTAAACATAATGTTGTTACACTATTCAACTGAAAATTTTTTGAAGCAGTAAGTGACATTTAAGTTATAGTTTAATTTATAAATATTACTCTGAAACAAAGAATAGATAAATTAGTTTTGTCTTCATAATATTTCATTTATTACCAACTGTGTAGTACCATCTGTATTGTATAATTTTTTCGAGCTTGCAGATATAAATAACTCAGAAAAGTCCTTTAGACCCGCTAACTAAACTAGAATTTTAGAATTTGCATGTCCATGATCTACAACTCGGTTTGTTACACAAGGAATTAGATGAGACACAAATCCAAATAATAATGCAAATGTTTATTAAATGCAAAAGTCAAAAACATTACACTACAAACAGTTTTGAACAATATAAGATAGAAGGATAAGTGTCTTATTCATGTGTAGAACTGAGAGAAAATGTGAAAAAAAACTTTACTGAAAAACCTCATATCAGTTCAGTTGTAAACCTCTGTAGGGTTATACTACAAATGAATACAATTAGCCACAAAAACCCTCACAAGTAAATATTAATTAAAATAAAGCAAAGTAAAATCCAAGTGAAACTTGGATCATCCTACTAAACACTTAATTTCTTTATATGCTGGACTCCTATTCCCTCAAAAATCGGAATCCACAATGATCCTGTAAAAGAAAAATAGCTTAAAAACAGATTTGCTTGCTTTGGATGTTTAACTGTTAAATCCTTTGAGAGTTCTTCTAGCTCTTGCAACCTTAAACAGAGAAGTCAGAAAGAACAATGAAAATTAGCAGAGACTTATACTGAAGCTATGTTGAAAACTTTTAAGTTGTGAAATAACTAAAAATATAACTTTCTTAAAGTAAATATAGCTTTAAATATGATGGTAAAATCACAGTAACACATACAAAATCAGATCTGCATCCATTCTCACAGCAAGTGATCCATATGCTTCAAAAGGGTGTGAGAAAAATATATGTTTCTATAACTGTGTAATGAGTCATCTTTCATGAAAGAGAATGTGAATAACAGCCCAATTATGAATATGGCCAAGAGCATTTCTAGAGAAAGATAAGGTTGAGTAACTATCTTGAGTAGTACCTCACTGTGTTCAAGTAAAGAATGATGAAAAACTCGGTAATTCCTGAAATGTTACACATTAGCTAATGGAATAGAAAATATAAATAATACAGTTCTCTACTTCACATTTCTTCCCCCCTCTTTCCAGGCCGACCTGGTTGCATGCAATTCAAAAATTACCAAATAATAAAAAGCTCGACTGATTTTAGTCAGATAGTGCTAAAGAAGTCGAAATAACTCACCTTTACCTAGTAAAAGCACTTGTCCTATAACAGCTTTTTTCTCTAACTGTATATTGAGCCATCTTTTTCATAAGAAAATATAGATAATAGCCTAATTATAAACATCCACCCACAGCACACTTCTGGTGAAGTAAAAAGTTGAGTAATTTACTTGAGTGCCTTACTGTGTCCAAACAGAAAATGTTGAAAACAATAATTTAAAAAATATTTACACATTAACTAAGGGAGTAGAAAACATACAGTACTATCTATAGTACAATAACAAATGTTGCCTCACCCTGTGTATCTTAGAATATCTTTAATCTTATCAAAAATATTTCACTTTTAAAGTTAAGCAAAGTGGATAATAAATAAAGGCAGAGTCAAGAATATTAAATTATAAATATTTGCGTAGTTAAGAAAGAATTGCAGTCAATCTTACGAAAAAATACAGGGTATCTGTATAATTAACAAATAATGATAATCAGAGTTAAACAAGATGCAAGTTAATTAATTCCATCTTGTTATCTCTCTCTAGCAGATCATATAAAGAGATTACCAGATATAGTTACATCAAACATACCACATGTGGATGTGCATTGTCATGAAGAAGAAGAACACCTTTCCGACTGACGAGTGAAGGGCATTTTTGATGAAAAGCTTGATTTAAATGTTCCAGTTGTTGACTGTAGATCTCTGCATTGACAGTTTGCTGTGAACTGAGGAGTTCAAAATTAGTTACTCCTTTAATATCACACCAAATGTAAAGCAATTTCTGCGGATAGAGTCCAGGTTTTGGGATTGGGAGTGGTTTTTATCTATGACTGAGCCATTGTTTTTGGTGTTTAATATTTGCATAGAAAATCCATTTTTCATCACTGGTGACAATTCTGTCCAAAAATGGTTCACAAGCACTACACGCCACAAGAGATGAGGCACGTTGGAAACGATGTTCATTGGAGATTTTGTGAGGCACACAAACACCTTAGGTATAGAGTTTTCCAATACTCTTTAGATGTTTACGTATTGTTTCATGAGAGACTTGCAATTGTAGGGCCTTTTCACGAGTGTGTTGCCTTGGGTTAGACTCAACAAGCATCTTCAGAGCATGAATATCAATTCCAACATGATGACCCCTGCCATCACAGTTTTTAAGGCTAAAATCGTCTGAACCAACTTTTCTGAACTGTCATTGACACTTACGACATAAACTTCTTTTATATTCTTTGTGGCTACAAGGGCATTATTTTGTTTCTTGTATTCAAACAGTATTACATGCTGGATGTGTGTCTCATCATGTACCATCACTATAAGGGATTAGAGTATACTAAACTTTACACATTTTATAGGCGACACTAATGTGACGAGGCCTGGCATGGCCAGGTGGTTAGGGGGCTCGACTCGCAATCTGTGGGTCATGGGTTCGAATCCCCGTCACACCAAACATGCTCGCTCTTTCAGTTGTGGAGGCATTATAATGTGACAGTCAATCCCACTATTCATTGGTAAAAGAGTAGCCCAAGAGTTGATGGTGGGTGGTGATGACTAGCTGCCTTCCCTCCAGTCTTACACTGCTAAATTAGGGACGGCTAGTGCAGATAGCTCTCGTATAGTTTTGTTTGAAATTCATAACAAACAATCAAAATAATGTGACGTTTAAGTGGTTTGTTTAACTATTATATGTTTTTTGTGGGGTGGTTAATGAAGGTGTTCCAAAATGCGACTTTACGACATAATAAAATCAACAAAACATACATGACATTTTGATGTACTGTTTATATGGTAAGAAGACAAATCTTGAAATTTCTGGTTTATTCTTCAGAATGCAGAGTGTTAGATCTAAAGAGGAAAAGGAAGTTTTAGAACATTTTGCTGGTGTTGTAAGTATTCACTTTTTTATTATTTGTTTTTTTTTACTTTTTAAAACCTTGGTAGATATGATTCTTATTGCCATTCTTGTGAGCGAGGCTTTAATCTGAAATGACAAAAGTCATCAGTAAAATTAAAGATTTTTTAATGTAATTAAAAACTAACCAGATATACTTTTTAACTTTAGATGCAAGTTTCTAGTATACTTTGAAAATCTGATCATGCAAATTGTTAACCAAAACGTTTTTATGTACATGTGTAACTCTAAAATTGTCATATATTAATTTGAAATATTAACAGAATAAAAACAAGTCTTTGAAAGTAATCTGTTGAAATATTTCCCTTTATAAAGTGATATTGTGAATGCATCAATATTTTAATAGTATGGATACATGGCCTTAGTTCCAGGTGAACTACAGTTGTCTGGCACCATCTCGATTGGTAAATCAGATGTCTGAAGAAGATATTTTGTGTTTACATACATACATTACACTCCACTCAATTTTTAGATAGTTTAGCTTTAAAAGCAAATGATATTTCTTAGGTATTAAAATAGCACAATAATTTATCTTTAATGTCTGCTTCTTGTGTTTATTAGCATCATGAAGTCAGTGGTATGGGATGTTATGTTTTCCGACTAGTTCACAGAAAAAATAAATACCAAATGACAATGCATTGTGATCATCACACTTTCAGAAAAGAATTGTACTTAAACTTAATATATCCACAAATGGTGTCAAAACAACACTGCAACATCGTACTGTAGCATTGCATTGCACATTGCCAGATGAGAGTTGTAATTCAATTTGATATTTCTAAAAATGATGTGAGAACTACACTGCAACATCGTGCTGTAACAACACTGTCAGAAGAGAGTTGTAGTTTAACTTGACATTTTCAAACATCATACTGTAACATAACACTGTCAAAAGAGATTTGTAGTTAAACTTGATATTTCAAAGATTGGCATCAGAACAACATTGCAATATCATACTGTAATACGACACAGTCAGAAGAGAATTGTAGTTAAACTTGATATTTCAAATAATGGTGTCAGAGCAACATTGATATCATACTTTAATAATACAATGTATGAAGAGAGATATTATTAAACTTTATATTTCCACAATAGTGTCAGAACAACATTGCAACATCACAATACAAAATTGTACTGTATTAAGCTTAGCAAAAGAAAGAATTTGGTCAGGAAGAATGAGAAAGATAACTGCATAGTGTGACAAATAGCCGAAGATCAGAGTTCTGAGAGATTGCTGCAATTCAAGTCACTTATTGATCCAGGACATGGAGAAACTGCTGGAATCAATGTTGGCTCATTCCTGGTTCACAGGAGAATGATGAAATCTGGTCTTGAATGTGTTAACTCTCCCCACATGGGCTCGGTCAAATTGACTGACCTTGTAACACTTTGTGCTTGTTATAGTTTCCATACTATAACTTTTAATACAGTATGTGTATGTTCACAAAATTTGGCAGACTTTTAGTAAACATTACAAGTCTTTTGTTCAGAAAAAATCAGATTTTTTAATGAAGGGTTTTTACTGAAGATTTGTCCATCAATATATTGAATCTTTTTTTTTACTAGTCCAAGTCCAAAACTATTTCTTGTTATGATTAGAAATATTTTTCTTTGTCTCAAAAATCTCAAAGTTCATTTTTGTAACCTTTAAAACCTCCTAAATAGATATAAAACGTTTTTTTTCCAGTAAAACTTTATATTTTATCTGTTATTACCTTTACCTCAACAATATACTTGCTTATTTAGCCTGCTGACAGATTGCCATAGTAAATGAAATGAAAAGTTGTAAAATCGGAAATAAAATGAGCAGTTGTGCCCTTTTTTTTTTATTTGTCATGAAGTTTCAAAGTACTTCTCTTGAGAGTTTGAGTTGCTAAACATTTCACATTTATTTTCTGTGTTTATTTTACTGTCAATGACTAAAGTAGAAACCTGCAGAAAATATAGCAGTAAGTCGCCATTTGTGTCCGAGAACAGAATGTCTAATGTATCGAATTATATATATCCTACAATGTTTTCTTGGAAAATTCAGAGTAATCACACTGCACTTAGAATCAGTGAAAACGTCTATGCTGACAACAGGATGTGGAATTTATCAGCTTATGTATGTATCCTACAGAGTTTACAACAAGTATTCTCCAGAGTGATAAGAGTTTATTATATGGTTTGTTGCCAATACAATAAACATTTACAATTCTTTGAATATTGTAAGCCTTTCAGGATGTTTGGAATTTAGCAGCATAGGTATACAAAGATGTTATTTGAGCACATGTTATAAAATCTTATTCCCCTTTTCAGCACACTTATTCATCAACCAATAGAAATTCAGATTCCAGTACTACCTATTGCACCCATTTTGTTTCAGTTTGACAAGCTATCTAAGTCTAGTCTTCTTTATAAAGCATAACATTTTATCCCCAACAATTGTAAAATATTTTACCTTTCTAAATGTTATGAATAAACCTGAATTTAAGTTGTTAAGATTCTAACATTGTATAATTTGCTTTTATTTTACCGCAGTTTAGACAATTAGAATAACACACATTCATTAGGCATAACTCTGTATTAGCCTACAAGATACAAATCTTAAACTATAATACAAGTATTTGTACAAAATACAATGATATTTTGGCTACCATACATTACATGTGTATATAAATGTTTAAATTTTGTTTATTTTTCTTAAAACATTGAACAATAAATTAAAAATACACTGAAAACCAAAGATTTTGAGTACTTATGGTGTTATGAAATGTTGCACTCGTGCGTCACATGTGCTAAGCCTCTCTGTAAGCCTCGTTTATTCTTCCAAATGGAGGGTGAAGAGATATTAATTTTTGTAGGCTTCAAATATAAATTTTAGAAAACTATAAAATTATCAAGTTACTGTATTAGAACATACAATATCCATGTAATTTATCTGGGTCTCTAGATCAGCTATATGTGGGTTACAAAAAATCCCATTCCTATTTAGAGCAACAACCTAGTCATCACACTTCAACAGTTTTGGTGAAATTATTACTTTCTTCTTGAAGCTATTTTCAAACAACTGTTAGATTTACATAGAGGGCAACTTCTCTTTCTATTGGTTATAAACACATGCTAATTAGCAGTAGGTGGAACTAGACAAGAGATTTCAAAAGAATGGAGTAATGGGAGGAGCCACTTTAGTAGATTCGTTAGAAATATTGACATCTCAGCAAATCATAGAGATGGGAGGTTCTTATTTTATATTTTTTTATATTAAGCTTGTCCATATCTCAAATATGAGTTTCTAACTCGTTAGCCTCTGTACACTTTGCATGGTAGGTGTAATAAAATGTAAACTGAGCAATAAGACGAGCATGTGTTATGTGAAACACAAAAATTGCTCTTTAGAACTTTTTGCTGTATAATTCCTTTTAAATTAACAAATTAAAACATATATAATATTAAAATTTCAATTATAAACCATGTTTCAATGTCAATTTCATTGACATAAGTAGTAATGAAGTTATTTAATAAAATTTTGAAAATAACTCTCCAAAATGTCATGACATGCACTTTAACCTGCTTGGGTGAAAGGGTTAAAATGATAAAACTATTCCTAACATGCAATAACAAGATCAAGATACACAATTTGCCAAGAAGTAATCAGTTGTGGACTGATAAGTCAAAATTCAAGTTGTTTATTTCCAAAAATGCTAGTAGGTGAGGAGATGTGTGTACAGTTAAGTACAGCAGAGGCTCTTTCAGTGTATGGGAATGAATATCAGCCAATGTAGTGGATAATGTTTACAGATTCGGTAGGATTGTGAATGCTTCCAAGTACATACATATCTTGCAGCTTCATACACGTATCCTCTGGGTTGCCTTTGATTCATCAGAGATTTATCATGCAGCAAGATGATGATCTGAAATATACAACAAACCTAGAGAAGAACTATCTGAAGTGCAAAGCAGATGTTGTTGTCGCTGAAATGATGAAGTGGCCTGCCCAGGGTTCAAACATCAGCATCAGTGAAGAAGTATGGGACTCCTTAGATGAACAAAAGGTCAGAACTGCTCTAATTTTCCTGGGTGATCTTTAGAAGATGCCTGCAAGTACATGCCACAGGATCTCATCAAAAAACACTAAGACAGTGTAAAAGACAGATTTAAAACTTTTCTGCATGCTAAGGGTGAACATACATGGTTTTAAATTTCAGGCAGCTAGCTATGCCTGAAAAAATTCACTTGTTGAAAAACTGATTTAAATATGTCATAGAAAATTAACTGTGTAAAGTAAATGTTGAATTCCACACTTGTGTACATTTAAATTTTTTTCTCAAGTTTTTCAGAGTTGATTGATGGTGCAATTCTATGCATATTGGGAATAGCTTCGACAAACTAAGACAATTATGTCTAACTGAGGAATTTAAACATTGTGCACGTGATGGCCTCAAAACTTACCTGGACAAAAAGAAAGTTGAAAAGTTGAAACACTGCAGGAAGCAACTGCTCTTTCTGATGATTACGTTTTAACACATACCACTTTTGATGAAAAGAAATTCCTACCATCTCAACAGAAACCTGTATCTGTTCAATCCACTAAAGTGGAGAATCCTTCTAAAAAATCCACCTTCTCTAGTTCGAAATCTTCATACAGTCGTGCTAAAACTTCATCAAGGCCTGTCTGCCATTTTGTAAGAAACTTGGTCGTGTTATGTCCAATTGTTGGTGTTTGAAGAAGAAAAGGAGGCAACACTCAGTACGTTTGTATCCACGTATGGACGTAGTTTCACCAGTTCTCCTGATGTTGTTTATTTGGCCACACTGATATAAAAGTTGATGTAGTCAGAGAGGAATTTAGACCTTTTGTGTCTGTTGGTTCTGTGTCATTGGCAAATGACGCTGCCAATCTCATACCAATATGTATTCTACGTGATACTGGGGTAGCTCAATCATTGTTGTTAGAAGGTATATTGCTTTTAGAATCGAGTTCTGCCACTGGTGAGACTGTTATTGCTCAGGGTATTGAGGGTGGCTTTGTTAATGTTCCTCTTCATTACATTTATTTAGCATCAGACCTAGTTTCGGGACCAGTTGTGGTTGGAGTAAGACCTACTCTGCCAATTAAGGGTGTATCATTATTGTTGGGAAACGATTTGGCTGGGGAAAAGTTGTTGCTGAACCTAAAATGATTAATGAGCCGATCCCTGTTTCATATAAGTATGATGTTGTTGTTGAGGAGAATCCTGATGTGTTTCTCTCGTGCTGTGATATGAGCTCAGGCTAAGAAATTAAGCCCAAATAAATGATAAACATAGATTCAGATGACGATATTATAGATTTGTCTCGGACTTTTTTGGATCTGACAGGGATCTTGTGGATAACTGTCTTACTGATGATTCCAGGGTGACTGACAATGATGGACATGAGGAATCTAGTTTACCTGGTGAAGTTCTGTTTGCTAAAAGCAAACTGATCACTGAGCAAGAAAAGGATCCACTGATCTCTTCACTACTTAAATATGCAATCCCAAAAGATGAACTGGAGAAAGTTGCAAATGGTGTACTTATGAGAAAATGGTGACAACCAGATGTGCCAGCTTCAGACTGGGCTATTGTTTAATACATTATTGTTTCCAAAACATATCATTCTGAAATTTTGAAAGTTGCCCATGAACTCCCCATGGGAGGTCAGTTAGGTGTCAACAAGACATGTGACAAAATTATGAGACATTTCTTTTAGCCAAAAATTAGGCAAGACGTTTCTCAGTTTTTTAAAACTTGTCATACATGTCAGTTGATCAGCAAACCTCATCAAAAAATTTCTGTTGCTCCTCTGAAACCTATCCCAGTTTTTGAAGAACCCTTGTTGATTATGTTGGGCCTTAACCAAAAACTCGGTCAGGGAACCAGTATTTGTTGACTATCATGTGTGCATCCATTTGATTCCCTGAAGCTATCCCTTTAAAAAACATTTCAGCCCAAAAAATTTTTAAGGCTTTGATTAATTTCTTTACTTTTGTTGGCTTGCCCAAAGAAATTCAGTCTGATCAGGGATCAAGTTTTATGTCAGGGTTGTTTCAACAACTTATTTGTCAGCTTGGTGCTAAACAGATCAAATCTAATGCATACCATCCAGAATCGCAAGGTGCTCTTGAGAGATTCCATTCTACCTTGAAATATATGATGCAGACTTACTGTCTCAATAAAGAGAAGGATTGTAATGCAGGAGTTAATTTTTTATTACTTGCTGTTCGTGAGTCAATTCAGGAGTCGTTTGGGTTTACCCTGTTTGAGTTGGTGTTTGGCCATTCAGTGCATGGTCTTTTTAAGTTGCTGAAGGAACAGTGGTTGAAAGATGATCCAAAAGAAATGCATTTATTGGAATATGTTTCCAAGTTTTGGTCCAGACTATGACATGCTTGTGAATTGGCTATTGAAAATTTGAGGTTATCTCAAACTAGAATGAAAAATGTTTATGAATACAAGGCTGAAGAACTTAAGTTCCATCCTGGTGACATAGTTTTAGTATTGTTATCCCGTATGGGACATCCACTCAAAAAAAGAGAAGACTGTTAAATTGGAGTTTATCACTACAAGAGTATGACTTGAAGATAATCCATGTCAAAGGGGTGATAACATTTGTTCTGATGCACTTTGACGTGCTATGTGATTTTATGATCATGAGGTTATTTGCATTGATTTTGTTATATACTGTCATGATTATTGCAGTTGTATAATTCTTTAAATAATGCATTAAGTCAATGTATATATGTAATATCTTAGTTAAAAATTGTCCAATGCCTATTTTTAATTCTCTAAGGAGGGAGATGTGACCGATTTACTATTATTTGTTTCAGTTGAGTTTATATTTAGAAATGTACATAACTTATACTGTTAAATATGTATTGCAAAATACCCGACTATTCTCTAAAGTTATAGAAGATTCTTGAGTGTAAGAATCAACAATATACATGTGTACATAAATGCTAGTGTAGCGTTTGTATTATTGCATAACTGAAATTTCGAGAAACTCTCTACATGCCTAACCAACATGACACACCTAAAAACAGTATCTATTATTGGTTTGCTACAGTTGATGTGATATAAACTTCAGAAGCTATAACTGTGATTGTTATAATGCGTATTAATTGGCACACTTCAGATATTTGACCAGGAACATTTATAAATTTCGAACATTACAAACCATTTAACTTCAGTCTATTCACATCGGACATTAGTACTTTTACGAAAACATACCCAACTTCATTGGTAGGAAAAAATCAGTGTGTGATCAGTGAAGACCACAGAGTTAGCTAGCTCCCTATTAAGTGAATTGAACATACATTAACTTGAAATTAACTCGCTCATCATGAACACTTGATAAGATAACAAGGAAGTTCCAGATTATAAAGAAGACTTTATATTGCTTGTAAGTTTATGAAACTTTCGTATATAAGTCATTGTTTGTAATGACTGTTATTGTAAATTGTGTTATTGGTTGTATATTAAATTATATTTGCATTAAAAAAAGAAAACTGTGTGTATTAATCTTGTTGGAAAATATCATAAATTGGATACATATCAGCATTTATTTAACTACTAAATCTTAGAGTACAATTGAACTTGATTTTAGGCTATTGGAAATTGTAATATGTAACAGGCTATACAAATAAAGTATGAAAAATGTGTGATGAAATATTTTTGTTCTTAGCAGCAAAATCACTTTTCAATCAAACTGACTTAGTAAAGGCTTCATAAGTTCACAGGCAATGTTTTAGTAAAAGTATTTTATCAAAATTCTGAATTTTTTTGTACAATTTTGTAATGTTTACTAAAAGTTGGCTAAATTTTGTGAAGATACTTTTAGTAAATTCATAATTATATTAAACACTATTATGAGATCAGCCAATTTGACTGAGTGCATAAACAGAGGGCTAATATGGATATGTAAGGTGTCATCACCATGTGTTGCTTTTTCTTGCTGATATGTTTTTATGATTATTCCTGTATGTTATGTTTTTCTAGAGTTTGATATACATGCCTCATTGTTCACAAACTGATGAAATTGACTATTTAATTCTTTCTCTTAAGTTTTCCATTAACAGATAACTTGTTGGTGAGTGAGAATGACATTTTTTTTAATAATTTCTAGTTTACAATGATGAATTCCTTGACTTTTAAGGAGGTCTTTTCTACAACAATTGATGTAAGTATATTTTAAAATATCAATATTAAACATGTACATTTAATCTTTTTCTCCACCATGGGTTTGCCATTTGGTATTAAAGATTCTTACATTAGAATTAATATTTTATTTAAATGGTAAACATTTGGTAACCTATAAAAATGTTCAATAATACATCAGTAAAATGTTTTCATAAACTTCTTATTGGCTGAGAAGTAGTTACAGTATCTGCCCAGGAACTGTGGCTAGAATGCCTTTAATTTTAGTTCCATCTTGTACTTGTAAGAATTAACATGGTACCATAAGTGTAGTGCTAATATATTTTTTTTACTTTCAATTTTTTTGTGAATATATAATATAGAAATAAGTATATATAAAGATATTTTAACAAAATGTAACTCAATCTTCAATTTTCGTGTTCAAACCACTCAGAAGAACAACTGTGCTTTTTTGTATGGAAAAAAAGATACCTTCCAGATCTATAACTCACTTACCTATAAGAACAAATGTGCTTGAAATAAGTGTTCACAATATTTATTTTTGTCAAATTGATAACAGACTTCCAAACAAGTAGCAAATATTTAGCATGAACAAATTTTTTAATGAACAAATTGTCCTTCTTTTTCAGTGCCACTAACCAAAAGAGATACATTTCATCTTTGCATTATGTTCATTAAGATATTCTTAAGAAGTACTAGATAGAGCATATAGCAGTTCTGTTGTCTTTTTTTTATTCTTGTCCAAAGATCTTAGTCTGATAAGCTAGACAAACTTACATCTGCTTTGAATATTCCTTGCTAGAGAAAATTGAAGCTGCTTTGAAAAAAAAGGCTTTGATTATCTAGTACAGCAATTATCTGTATGAAAGGTGTTTTTGACATAAGTAATAATACAATCACATTTTTTGATAAACTAATGCAGAATTTTATGTTGCTCTGTCATTGTCTTTAAAGATAACAGGCAAATGATAGTACAAAGTAATTTAACACAATAATATTTACAAAATATGCACAAAATTCTTGAGGTAAAAGGGAATTTCAGCTATAATTTGTCATCAAATCTTTGAAAGAAATAGTTTGGTTGAAAATTCATCTGCTATTTCTCTTCACAAACTTTGCATCAGTTCTTGGAAATGTATATGAGGACTATGTGGAAAAATTAAACATCCATACAAACATTATGATTTACCTCTATTGATAAGGGCACAAGAACTAGGGGTTCTGAGCAACTGCTGGTGATGTTCAAAGAAGTTTTGATTTGTCAATAGTTTGCACAAAGCTGTGTTAGCATAAATTGATTTTTTAAAGATATAGCTTTTGAACTTTTTGCTAGTCTTGCAGTGCTATTGCATATGTATTATTAGTCAATATGAGAAAATATGGTGTTATTCACTTCAGGAAAAGTTTGTTCCTAGTATTGAAATTAAAAAAGCCTGTTGTGTTGGGTAGTCTGACTAACTTATCAGTTTGTTTGCTTTCAATATTTTAATGTAAGCAAGTTGTAAGTATTGTAATAAGGGCTGTGGTAAATGTGTTTTTTGCATAACTCTTTTAACATGGGCTCGGTCATAACCATTTTGGGCTTGGTGTAATTTTCATGCTATAACTTTTAAATTAATAAGTGTATATTTATGAAATTTGGAAGATTATCAGTAAACATTACAATTCTTTCATGGGCAAAATATCAAATTTATTTATTAAGTTATAAGGTTTGTAAAGCAATTTTTTCTCATGCCCTTTTTTTTTCTTATTTTCCCATGTTTTTCCAAAATTTTAAAATCAAAAATACTTTTGTGCATCAGAAAATTTCCAAATTTCACATGCAAAATCTTTATAATGTCCAGATATGTATAAAACGTTTCTCAAGAAAAACTTTTTATTTTATCTGTTATTTTCAGTAACGATCTCTGTATGGATTTGGTTGATTTGACCAATCTCGAAATGAATATAAATTTTGCATGTTTCATTCTAGAATGAACACAGATTATATCATGAAAACATAAATGTTTAGACTAAATAG